TTCCTTTAGTACTTTAATGGTTTTGGGTCCTATATTTATGTCTTTAATCCATTTTAAGTTGATTTTGGTATACAGTGAAAGGTGCAAGTCCAATTTCATTCTTCTGCATATAGAAGTCCAATTTTCTCAGCACTATTTATTGAAAGGGCAGTATTTTCCCCATTGCATATTCTTGTTGCCTTCATTGGAGATCAGTTGGCTTTAAGTATATGGATTGATTTCTGAGTTCTCCATTCTATTCCATTGATCTGAGTGTCTATTTTTATGCCAGTACCATACTGTTTTGTTTACAATAGCTTTGTAATATAATTTGAAGTTGGGTAGTGTTATGCCTCCAGCTTTATTTTTTTGCTCAGGATTGCTTTGGCTATTTGGGGTCTTTTGTAGTTCCATATGAATGTTTGGATTGCTTTTTCTATTTCTGTGAAGAATGACATTGGTATTTTGATGGGGATTGTATTGAATCTGTAGATTGCTTTGGGTAGAATTTAATAGACAGTTAATTCTTCCCATCAAAGAGCATGGTATGTGTTTCCATCTATTTGTGTCCTCTTTAATATCTTTCAGTAGTGATTTGTAGTTCTCATTGTAGAGATCTTTTGCATCCTTTGTTAAATTGATTCCTAGGCATTTTATTTTTTTGGTGACCACTGTAAATGGGCTTGTTTTCTTGATTTCTTTTTCTGCTGGCTCATTAATGGAATATAAGGATGCTACTGATTTGGGGTTATTAATTTTGTATCTTGCAACATTACTGAAATTGTTGATCAGCTCTTAGAGTTTTTAATAGAGTTTATAGGTTGTTCTATATATAAGATTATGAAATTTTAATATCTGTTTTGAATGTGCCTTTTAGAAAAGTTGTATCAGGTTATACCATCATTATCAATGTATGAGAGTGTTTAGTTCTTCACAGTTTTATCCATAATAAATCATCAATTTCTAAAAACTTTGACAATTCATTAAGAGCAAATTAGTACCCCAGTGCTGTCTTATTAGTGTTTCTTTGATTACTAATGATAGGTTTACTTTTCATAGAATTATTGACTATTAGAATTTCTTCTTTAAGTATGTCTTTATATGTTTTGTTTATTTTTAAATTTGCATACCAAACTTTTTTCTTTATTATTTATTTGGAAGACTACTTTTACGTTAATATGTTAATAATCTGCCTATTTCACAATTATTTTTCACAGTTTGTTTNGGGATCCGAACCCTCAGGCGGGAGCGCCGCCGCGCTTCCTAAGCGGCGCACTATCCAGTGCACCACCGGGCCGGCCCAGCTCTTAGAGTTTTTAATAGAGTTTATAGGTTGTTCTATATAAATTTCATGTTCTATAAGATCATGAAATTTTAATATCTGTTTTGAATGTGCCTTTTAGAAAAGTTGTATCAGGTTACACCATCATTATCAGTGTATGAGAGTGTCTAGTTCCTCACAGCTTCATCCATAATAAATCTTCAACTTCTAAAAACTTTGACAATTCATTAAGAGCAAATTAGCACTCCAGTGCTGCCTTATTAGTGTTTCTTTGATTACTAATGATAGGTTTACTTTTCATAGAAGTATTGACTATTATAATTTCTTCCTTTACATGTCTTTATATGTTTTGTTTATTTTTAAATTTGCATACCAGGCTTTTTTCTTTATTATTTATTTGGAAGACTAATTTTATGTTAATATGTTAATAATCTGCCTATTTCACAATAATTTTTCACAGTTTGTTTTTACTTTTATTTTTATAGCACTTATAGCTCCATATAAAGATATATGCATTAACTCTATCTATGAATCTATTTTTACATGAGCATACATAGAAAATATGAATTATATTTTAATATTTTGGATATCATTTCAATTATTTCCTTCTTTATTTGTGAATATGTGACATGTTATTTTCTGTCTGCTTTGTTGTTTTGTTTGTTGTTACCAGTATCATAGAGTTTCCCGTGCCTTCTTAATTGCTATCTACCAAGGTATCCGTGGTTTTCAACAATATTCACAGGCAAGGACCTCTCCAAGAAGTGTTCCAAATGAGTTCAGCTACCTGAAACAGAGCTGCAGAGCTGGAAGATTAGTGATAAGGAATCCCAAGGAAGAATTCTGGTGACAGACCTGTCAGTATGGGCACAGACTGTGAAAATATAGATGTTCCATTTGAATGCTCATCAGAGGGCATTGATTACAGAGGAAGCATTATTAATCAGGTAGACAAATGACAAGTTCTCTGTGTGTTAGCCTCTTTTCCCAGCCTCCTCAGTGCTTGCTGAATGGGTCCAAATATAAAATGAACAGAGTTGGAGGTCATGTGTTAAACAACATTGAATTCCTCGTGAAGCATGATCTGGATATCAGTACTGATAGGCCCTTTTAATTCTGAGTAAGAAATATGATACAGTATACTGTGGGGATCCATCAGTCACTTACTGGGAGAGTGATTATACTGGGAACCTTCTACCATGGAGGAAGTAGTGTTTTGTCTCATTGGAATGAACATGTGTTCTGGATACACATGGCCTTCCTACTCATAATACTTCAGTTTGCACCACAATCTGTGGATTTAAGTAATGTCTTATTCACCATCATGGTATTATGTACAAAATTGCTTCTGATCAAGGAATTGATCTAACAGCAACACATGTGAAGAAATGGGCTCATGACCACAGGATTCACTGGTCTTAACACATACTTGTACATGATTACCCATAAACAGCTGGCCCAATAGGATGGTGTAATGGCATGTTAAAGACTCCTTTTGTCTTCCACAGGAGACAATGTTTTCATCCCCTGGATCTGGGAATAAAGAAGTGAGAGGGGACATAGTTTTTTTCTCTGTTATGACTGATTACTCAATCACAACATTTTTGCTTCTTGTTTTCACATCTTTGAGCTCTGCCGGGTTGGAGGTCTTGGTGCCTAAGGAAGAAATGCTTCCACCACAGTAGACAACAATATTTTCATTACATTAGAAATTAAGACTGGCTATTGGCCATTTGAATTTTGTCTAAGAAATGTCTATGTCTACATATCCTCTAGGTAAGTGTCTACGAAGATGATTCTAACAGAAAGCAGTGGGAATTAAGGAAAAGCTGCCTGTCTAAAATTAATGTGTAAATACTAAGCTTAGACAGCATAGTAGAAAGTGACAAAATATTTGAGTTGAAAACATGTACAACTTAGATTTTGTTGTAACAACTTATATTACAGGACAATATAAGTTGTGTATTTCATTCTTATGCTCTTCTTCAGAATATTCAGGAATTCCATGTAAATAGCACTTGACTCCCATGTTTACCTTCTGATGACATGCAAAATTATAAAGATACTCAGCATTCTGGGTAGAAACAAAATTACTTAAAACATGCAGTGATGAAAATACTTGATTGAATTGATGTACTTATACAGATGAATTGAAATTAAGGTCTAAGACAAAAACAAGCAAATAACTGACTGTAAGTCCTTTAATACTGTCTGTGTGCAAGCATGTGCTTAAGTGGCATTTCTCTTGTTCAGAATATACACTGCTTGAACAAACTAGATTACAAATTATGCCATTTACAATAATTAGTTTTATATTGTTGATAGAGATGTTCTGATATTTTATTCTTGGCATGAGTTACTCTTTCACTTACTTTGTAAGAAATAAATTTTCTATTGCATTGTGCAATGTCAAATAATAAATGAACACTCTTGGAAATCAAATCAATCTCTAAATCTGTTAGGTAAAGAAAAATAAAGCTATGTTACCTCGAGGAAATTAAATTCCTATTTCTAGGTCTTGCATTCTAATTGACAGTTTGGGGATCATACTAAAAGCATTTAAGGTAACACATATAAATAATGGCATTAAGTAGGCAGTCAGGAATGATAATTGCTTTATTTTTATTTTGCCATTTGTTGCATTTTGCACCCATGTTAAACAAAATAAAAACTGCATATGTGCCATCTTTCTGTTATAAGATTTTTATTGTTGATTCTTACAACTGAATTTCAATCCACTTAATTTATAATTCTCGAAGAAAGAAAAGAAATATTATTTATGATTTAAAACTTTTAGGATAATTTTTTAAATGACAAAAGAGCTTACTTATATATACCTTGACAAATAAAAGTTATAAGCATTCAAATAAAAATTGGCTTCTATTAATTTATTAAAATATTTTATTGTGTCTATTATATATTAACTACTGCACTATGTACTGCGTTTTCAAAAAATAACCAGATAAGGTGTGGTTCTTGCCTCAGGAAAATTACATTTCAGGACTTTTGCAAAACTGGTTTATTAACAGCATAAATAAACAGCATTTTTTTACAGCATGAATAAATAAACAGTGGTTTTTTATAGCATAAATATCAGTACTTGGGACTGAGATAACTAAGGAAGGAAAATATTATTAAGATTTATTTAATTTATTTGAAAATTTTTATTGAGTTAATAAAAACCAAGTAGCGAGTAATCTCTACTGCTGCTCCTATATACTTTACAACTTTTATTTCATTCTTTATTCATTTTTTCCCTTGCTTTTTCCCATTAGTATTTGGGAAGAAGCTAAGGTAAGAAAAAAAAATTAATATTTTGCCTTTGAAAAAGGCAAGATTAAGTTTAGAGGGGAGGGTGTCAATATTAAAGAAATACATCTTTTTCCAATGGGGCTGAGAGAAAATTCAAGAGAATTTCATTAAGATGTTGTCTGTCAGAATGGATGTATGGCTTTGTTGAATGAAAATCAGGAGTTCATTTAATGTAGTTAAAGGCACAGACAGACTGGATAACTCCCCCATAAAAAGGATCATTAGTGTTGAATTTTAGGGAAATATTTTATGGCATTCTGTTGGTTTATTAGGAAATGTTGAAACTTCCTGAATTATATTAACCCTTTTTCTGTATCTGGAGCCACAAATAACATTTAGACATAAACTGAACATCCTGAATCCCCAACCTATCTTATAAAGTCAGTACATTGTCAACTTGAAGTACTTACAGTGAGGCTTCTGAGCATTAAGTATTAACCTTGGAATCCATGTAATAACTTCTGAATCTCTTCATAGTGTTTTTCATCTCTTGATTTCTCAGGGTATAAATAGCTGGATTTAGGAGAGGTGTAATGACTGAGTAAAACACTGCAAGAAACTTGTCCACCCAGGTGATGGTGACTGGCCACACATAGATGAAGATGCATGGCCCAAAGAAGAGCACCACTACTGTGATGTGGGCAGTGCAGGTGGAGAGCGCCTTAGATGCTCCAGTTTTAGAGCTTCGGTGGACAGTGCGAAGAATATATGTGTAGGATATCAGCAACAGAATAAAGCAGGTCATGGCCAGAACCCCACTGTCACTATTCATAAGTATTTCCAAATTATAGGAATCCATGCAGGCAAGCTTGATGACCAGTGGTATATCACAGAAGAAGCTGTCTACTTCTCTGGGGCCACAGAAAGGCAGCTGCACAATCACAACCATTTGACTCATGGCATGCACAAAGCCAATGGCCCAGGAAGTCACCACTAGTCCAAGACATCTTTGCAGGCTCATAACGCTTGAGTAGTGGAGTGGTTTGCAGATGGCCACAT